TAACAGTGCCACAAAAGTGTCACCCAAACTTCCTCCTTCAGGCTGAAATCAGTTCTCTGCTCTGGGCATTAGTGATCAGATGAGGGAATCCTCACCATCTGAGGACATCGTTTCTCTGACTTGGGACTTAACTGTCCTGCAGTCGGCTGATCCTTTTTGGGGGTAGGCCCATTTAGTGTCAGCTTGTGTGCCCTGTTCCACAGTCTGGTTTGAAATAGGACCTTAGGCTCCTGCTTAAAGTTTAAGTCACTTAGTTCTAGCCCGGAATAAATAAAAGAGCAAGGGAATTTTACTTAAGCTCGTTTTGTATTGTGTAACCAGGTAAAACAGACTTAGCTTTCCAATGCGGAGCCTGCTGGACTTAACATTCACATCTCTTAGGTCAGAAGTGCTTGTCCTCCATCCCACTCCGTGTGCAGAGACACTGTTATTACTCTGGGCATCAGGATGAACAGCCATTCTCCCCTAGCGTTGCCAGATTCCGTCGCTGGCCCAGGGCTGTTTTGATTTTGCTGCTGCCTTGGTCTTGCTCGAGCCACCTTGGGGATTCTATTTCCCTGCTCCGTCATCTAGAATAGGAGCTCCCCGAGAGCAGGCTGGCCTGAAGGCCTTGTCTGGCTATTGTGATAAAAACTTTCTGATGGGTGCGGGCGCTCTGAAGATTAGGGAACTGAGAGGCCTTCGCTCTGGCTTTTGGAGGCATGGGCAGCACGTTGATGTCAGAGTGAGAGGCACTATATGTCATGGGCATCAGGTGCCATCATCATTGGCTTCGTCTGTGCAGTGACGTTGGCATGGGAGCAGAATCGGTGCAGAGTTCTGGTTGGTTAAAAATTGGCTTAGGCAGGCTCACGGGCCAGCTGGTTTACTAGGGCAGAATGACTCAGGCCTTTGTGAAGGACAGAATTGGTGGAGGGAAGCATGCATCCCAGCACAACTTGCCCACAGTACTGGATCTAAGAAATGGCGTGTTGGGGTTTTTCTTATATGACCCCCTGCCCCAGTTTCTAAAGAGTGGCCAATGAGTTGTGTCTGGCACAAGCGAGACTGTAGTTGTAGTGAACCAGGGGCTTTGGGAGATGGGAAGGGAAAGAAGGCAGGACTAGGCCATGAAGAGCTGAACCTGGGCTGTGCTGGCCCCTGCCTCTTGGCCTGTGCTGAGGCCTCTGATGGTGTCTCTCTCTCACAGAGGAGAAAATGTTTCTGAGGAAGATCCTCCTGCAGGGACTCAGGCTCAAGAATAAGGCTCCTGTACGTGGGCATGGCATTTGCCGCCACCAGTGGATACACCGGGCTTCCACTGCTGGCTGGAGGTTGGCTCTGCATGTCTGTGCCTCCCAAGGAGGAGGATGCATTAGTGAGTCATGCTGGGCCGCGTGTCCTGGCAGGCTCTGTCCAAAGGCCCACCCTGAGACACCAGGGCTGAGGCTGCTGAGCTTATAAACCTCAGAATTAATTTGAGGTGGTGCAATAAGGTTCGTGTGCAAGTCCAATATAATTGTATCTGCTAATGGCATCTCCAGGTACTGGAGGCAGCCCTTCTGTACAGGGAGTCCAGAGGTCCCTCCCTGCAAGAGGAGCCGCGGGGCACAGCCTGAGTGGAGAGAGATCAGTTGGTGACCTAGGGATGAGACAGGAGGTTTCTGGTTTACTAGAGGGTTTCAAGGACATGTTGAGATCTTATAGGAGCCTGGACAGACTTGCTGACAAACAAGCTTTTTTGATTGCTGGTGTGTAAATCTCAAATGCCCAACCAATTTTCATTTATTTTTGTACTTAATAGCCTGGGTGCACAAAAGATCAGACCTTATAAACCTCAGATGTAATTTGAGATGGTGCAGTAGGGTTGGCGTTTGAGCCAATATAACTGTGTCTGCTAATGGCATCTCCCGGTCCTGGAGGCAGCCCTTCTGTACCAGAACATCGTTGTCCCAAAGATCTTACTGTGAAGCTTGAGGAGAGACTAAACAGGAAAAAAAGTTTGCTCTATTTGGGCACGTACTAACAGCTTTCTGGCATAGAAGTATCCTATAGGCTATTTAAATTGTTTTTTGCTCTGTGGTTATGAATGGATCAAGGTCTTAAACCAGTGAGACTTTCCTACAGTGTGTTTGTGATCTGGGGCCTTAGATGCATTATCTCACCCATGCCACCTTAAACAGTATTCCCGAAGTGCATAGGGCCGCAGTTGATTAATGGAACTGGGAGCTTCGCATTTGTTTTAATTCTAACAATTGCCAGGATGATTTTTGGAAGAGGTACATTTGTAATTTTTCTTATTATAAAAGTATTTCATATCAGTAAATTTATTAGTAAAGAGAAGAAAAAGTCTTGTTGTAATCCTATACCGCCCAGATAACATGCTGTTAATATTTGGTAGATAGCCTTCCAGTCCTTTTATTATGTTTAATTTAGAGTCCCTTTCCCCTCCAAAAAGGGAAGGACCAGTCCTTGTATACAGGAGTGATGGGTTAGTGAGCACCAGTAAGGATATGCTGGCGGGAAGGCACTCGTTAGGTGCTAGGGGAAGGGATAAAAGCATCATAGAAGGCCAGTAAGAACTCACCTTTTACCTGCAAATTTTGTTTTCATTTTTTTGGTATTTTCTTGGGAGGCTTCTTTGTTTTTCTTTATAACATAGCTGAGTCTCTAGGAGCAGCTACCATCCTGAATACCTGGTTATTAAGGTAATTTCTCTATTACCCCGAAGAGCTTTAGTTACACTTGGCTTTTACCTTAATCCTCATACAGCTCTGCAGGGCAAACCTTACTCAGCTCCGAGCGGTCTTTGCAAGTGGGGCCAGGGAGCCCCCCTCAGCCAAAAAAAGAGCATTATGTTACCGGAAGCCCAAGCCCAGAGAGCACAAGGTATGACCCAGTAATCAGTGGCCCCAGCCAGGTCTTTGCAAGGAGACCCTAATGTCTCAGGTTTAGAGAACAGCCAGCTGATAATTTTTAAGAAGAGAGGGGTTAGTCACTCCAACCCACTTGCTCAGATCTAATTTTGTTCAGGATATAGTCCTTGGGCTGGATGACTCTCCATTTGGAGGCTGCAGCAAGGCCTTTGGGTTCTAGTTGGCTTAGTGTACCACCTGGTACCATCTCTTCTGCAGTGTTCCCTTAACAGCCAAACTTACGAAAGCCCTTGATGTTCTAAAGTCACGGGAGACCTGCATGGGGGCAGGTAAAGGGATCCTGGCTGCCCAGGCTGTTCTGTCAGAAGTTTCTAAGATTTGCGGTGGGGTGAGAGAGGTATAACTTTGACTTTGACAAAAACGTGTTAAGAACCACTGAAAGGTCATTCAACAAACCCTGGAATACCTCCACCTACGAGGTGCTGAGAGATACAAAACCAACTCTGTCACAGAGGAGAGGGTTGATGTTTTCATTCCAGTAGCTGGTATATACTGTACATTCAGGAGTTAGGGAATACACATTGAAAGGAATGGTGCATCTACCATGTGGAATAGTTAGCTGCTATCGTATTGCCCCATTTTTTAAGTTTTGGATTCTGTAGATGAGGACTTATAAACATTAATTTTCAGTAACTGATGGAAGGTTTGCTCATGACAAAGCTTCTTGGTCTTTCACCAGAATTCCTGAAGACAGCAGAGGTGGGTGTAGATGCATGCTGTATTCCAGCTTCCAGAGAGGCCACAGAGTTGGAGGTGGAGGAGGAGAAAGAATTGGGATTGTGTGTGGTTGTGCCTTGATTTGGAACAGAAGGTGGGACAGAGCTAAAGAGGGGCTGTTTCAGTTTCTGTGCACGAGCTGAAGCATTTAGGCTCGGGTTTTAGGAGTAGCCCTTGGTCTGAGAACTTGAGGAAAGGGTCACCTCCTGATGAGTATCAAGCTCTGGCTCCCGTCTTTACCTGATGGTTCTTCAGACAGTGCCTGGAAGCTCCTCAAGTTGTTCCTAGTCCGCTAACTAGCCAGTTGAGTGAGTTTAGTTGTAAGTCGGTAATGAGGAAAAGCAAAGGTCAGGCAGTTGTCAGGTTTGTGACCCTGGCTGGTTAATTACCTGGAACTGATGTTCTTTGTTATCAGGCTGAGAAAGGGGATCAGGATGATGCATCAGAAAATTAGTTAGGGAAAAGTTGACAAGCAGCCTTAATTTCCTCATGTTGCAGCTGGCCTGTTAATTTGTAATAATTTTGGAGCCAGACTTGTGCCATTGTGGTTATCCTTGGTTTATGCAAATTACTTTGCACATCCTGAAGTCCTAACAAAAAAGTAGAAGTGCTTTTTAGGTACAGACTCTTGGGACAAGAGGTTTTTGCATCCCAAGATTATGGTTGAACTTTGCTTCCTGTCCAGGGACTGGTTTTTATTGCCTGTCAGTGGGTTGGGACCTCCTCTCGGGCATAGAGTGAGTCGAGGAATGAACCTAGGTGGTGTTCTCCTTAGTGAAAACCTAGGCCACTGGAAAACAGGGCTGTCTGGATGGTGGTTGTCTTAACAATCAGGAAAGTCACTTTGAGTTTGGGTGGGGATCATTAAGAGGCAGTGTGGGTGCCCCACCCCATGGCAGATGTTTGAAGCTTTAAGACGACTTTTTATACAAAGACCTGGATCTGCCAAGGTACTAAACTAGGAGTCAGTTGTGGCTGGAAGATTGGTTACAACTTCCTTTTGAGGAAGCTGCTTCAGTGCATGTAGAATGGTGTTACTTACAGGATTAGCAGAACACTGTCAAGGTAGGTATTAGCAGCTTATAAGGGAGGTGTAAGGTCTGCTTATAGTGGATGCCTGAGAAGTAATACATGCATAGAGTATAGGTTTTGACTTGTTCTTTAAGGTCCTTTACACTTGCTCATGGTCATGAGAGCCCTTTGCTTGATTTGAGGAGCCCCCATGTAGCTAGAGTGTGGTGTGGGGCTCCTGTGGCTCATGCACAAAGCATGCTTATTGAGTTAATGTGTAAGCAGGAAACCCTCTAGTCCAAGTGGTATATTAACTACCACAGACTTCTCAGGCAGATCATTCCATTCTCTCTTCAGTTCCTCTGGACCCAAGACCTCAGAAGCCATGTCGAAGCCTCACAGTGATGTCGGGACTGCCTTCATTCAGACCCAGCAGCTGCATGCAGCCATGGCCGACACATTCTTGGAGCACATGTGCCGCCTGGACATTGACTCACCGCCCATCACAGCCCGGAACACTGGTATCATCTGTACCATCGGTGAGTAGTTACAGCCCCTCCCCTGCAAGACAAGGGCTTCGTGTGACAGGGATGTTTGCTCTCCTGAAAAGACAAAATAGATGTAGCAACCTGGGTTAGCTGAGTAAGATGCTCCCCAGGTTCTCATGGGATCTCGGGTCATAGGAAGTTGCAATAAAGAGTTAGTATGCTTTATGTGAGTACTTAAGACAAATTTTAGTGGGTATCTTCCTTAGCAGATCCTTGTAGGGGCATCTGAGAGACCTAGGAAAGATGTTCTTGACATGTTCTTTACAACCAAGATTCTGTGTTTAGACACATGGCTGGGCTTCAGGGAGAGCAAAGAGGCCTGGCTAAGTCTTACCTGGGTTTTCCTAATTAGACAGGAGCCTGTAGACTTTAAAGGAAATAGAAGTGTACCCCTAAATCCAGAGAGTAGACTAGTAGTAATAGTCACTTATATGCTTTTGAACAAATTTTGAGCTAACTGGGGGAGGACAAATTTAGGGACAAAATAAAATATCAAGAATTCATCAGACTTATTCAAATTTAAAGTATTATTGCTCTGTTGAATAATTAACACTTACGACTTTAAAACTCTTTCACTAGGCCCAGCTTCCCGATCAGTGGAAATGTTGAAGGAGATGATTAAGTCTGGAATGAATGTGGCTCGTCTGAACTTCTCTCATGGAACACATGAAGTGAGTCTTGGCGGGACAATTTGGCCACTGGGATAGCTTGTGAGAAACAGTGGGGATGCAGTGTTCATTTAGCCACAGAGCACCAGGCAAGAAAGAGTCTGGGGTTTACAGCCAGTGGGAAGACTGTCTTCACTATCCCATCCCTAGTCAGCCACACACCTGTGCTGCCATTAGTCCTCACAGGGAAGGTGTGGAAGGGTTCTGCTGGAAACCCCTCTAAGGCATTGGTTCCATGGCCAGAGCTGGACATTCCTATCCCAGGGTTTCTGTAAGAGCTCATATTGCGGTGATGAACCAAAAGGTCACCTTGCAGATTGATTCTGGCTGAGATCCGAGGTACCTGGGCCGATCCGGGAGGAGGGTTTCCACTACTGCAAGTTAAGGACTGAGTGTAAGACACTAATGATTCCTGGCATATAACACCCACATCATCAGCATTGTGCTCCTATTGTGTCCCAGGTACATAACAGTAAAGTTTTTAAAAAAGTGAGCACACTTGCCCCAGGAGCCTGTTATGAATGTAGTACTCCTGGGGCTGTTTTATGAGCTGACATGACCCTTGGACAGAAGCCTTACCCAGGGACCAGGTGGCAGCTCTTAAGAAGTGCTCCATTCCTGGTTCTGTTCCCAAGTTCAGAACAAATTCATTTTGAGGGAGGAGTGCAGGGACTCCCTGAGGGACAGTGCCTTTTAAAAACCTTAAAGCTTAACCGTAGGCCATGGATTTCATACTGGCATTGATATAGGACTAATGGATAAGGCACACTTTCCTGTACTCTTGACTTCTGTACTTTCTGTTCAGAATAAAGAAAATGCCACCTTGGAAGGTCAAGTAGTGAGGGGTTGCCTTCTGGCATTTGAGAGTTGGTGTTAAGTTTAGACTAAAAATAAAGTCTTCAGAAGTGCAACTCTAGAAGTGAATTCCTCCTTTCTGGACACATGAGACTACTCATCAGAGGTTCCCTAACCTGTGTTCCATAAACAGCCTATGGCCAGGCAGGCAGCCAGCCTCCAAATGCCATGGGGGCCTGACCAAGTGGAGAGGAGCTGCTAGCTGGCATCTCAGGCAGGTTTAGACATGTCCATGATGGCATTTGTAATTTTCCGAAGGCTAGGGTTCTCAGCAGAAGTCATCAGGAATTACCGCAAGTTAGCCCAAAGAGAGATCTAAAGACATCAGAAAAGATCAGTCCACTGCTGACGCCTTCTGCTGGAGTGTCCCAGGGTCTCCTGTGTGCAGGAGAAGGAGCAGAAATAGATTTAAAGAAGTTGACCTTTAATGAGGGTTTCTGGCCTCTTCCATCCTGTAAAGTAACAACCACGCAGCTCTGAAACGGCAAGGGTGAGGGGTGTCTGCTGCGCCTGCAAGAGGAGAGCTGGCTTGGGGATTTTGTTTTGTTTGTTTTTTAACTGCTAGAGACATTTGGAGATATTCTGTGCTTTAACTCTTATTCCCAGATTATTCCCTCTTGTGAGTTTATTTTGAGGTTTTTGAACAGGATGAGGTTGTCCTTGGGATTAGGGTTTTGGAAACTGATCTGAAATTCTTCTAAACTTATATGATGTAATATGAACAGTTTTAGTTTGCACGTCAGGGTTCTTAATTCATACGCACCTTTGACTAGCAGCTGGGACATGCTTTTCCAGCTCTTGACAAATTTAAATACCCCTCTAAGCAGAACATTGGAATTGCTTTCTCTCCGTCACAGTGAGTGACAGAGGGACATACACTGTCTGCATCTAATGTTTGGACAGCTTTGCCACAGTGTCTCTAGCCCCCACTTTTGGCAGTTCTCTTGGACAAGATGTGTTCTTACTGAACATATGGTCCCATAAAGCCATGTTGGCCAGAAATACTGACTCTCTAACAGTCTACATTAGAACCTTCTGCAAATACAACACTGATGGGTGGGAAATGTTACCACTTGGTGTAACATCCTGCAAAGGCACAGCCATAGCAGAATACTTCAGTACACCTCCCAGAAACGTACCGAAGGACAATACAGAAGATTTGAGTAACACTGAATAATCTAATTGGTTATGTACATAATATGTGATTTTATATCCCCAAGACCAAAACATGTTTATTTAAAGTGTCCATGGCTATAAAATCTGTTAGGTCATCAAAACAACCTCAAGTTCCATGAAGGAGAAATGCTACAGACTATATTCTCTGACATGTTTTAATGGAAATCATGAACAAAATCTAATATAGTCAGCAAGAAAACTTACAGACCTAACTGTACTTAACAGAAAGCAAAAATCTGAAAGAAAATGGAATACTTAAAACACACTAGGGGGAAACAAACTAAAATAACCTAAAAGGAGTGAAGGAAAGGAATTTATTTATAAAAACATAGCTTGATGAAATAGAAAATAAATTTGACAGATTAAACCAAGAGTTTATTCTTTCAGGGTAAACAAACAAAAAAACAGTAAAACAGGAAGTTCTGGAAAATCTAGTTAAGAATAAGGATGCACAAAACAGACTGAAGAAAAAAGGCAGTATTTCCTGTACATTAGAAGAGAGTTTAAAAGTCACAAAAAGACTTACAACTTAATTTCTATAAATTGAGATGAAATTGACTTATTTTCCAAGAAAAGATAAATATCCAAGAAGAAAATATGAAGACTAACAACCTTAAGAAATTTTCAAAGTAACAAAGATCGAGCTCTGTTCAGAATACCATTCCTCAAGGTGGCTGAATTCTGTCTCCTTCAAGGAGCAGTTGAGTCCTTTGCTCCGCCATGCCAGAGCCTAAAGGAATGTAGGTAGATCTTCCCAGTATGTTCTTTGAAACCAGCATAACCTGATAGTAAGATGAGACAAGGACCAGACCAAAACCAGAGGTTTAGTACCAGGCTCACTTAGAAAGATACAGAAAGCATAAATAAAACTTGACAGTCCAAATCCAGTCATTTATGAAAGGAAATTCATGACCCCTACCAAGTAAATTTTATTCTGGGAACATAAAGTTCACATTGGGATTAAACAGAGTGCTTAGTGTAACAGAAGGTGATGATGATAATAGATAACACTTACTAAATAATTTGTCAATGCTCATCTCTCTTCTAGGGACTTAATGCATGTATTCTGTTAACTACTCACATCAACTCTTATGAATATTTAACAATATTCAACTCCCATTCCTTTTAAAAAGCTATTCCTATGTTCTATACTATTTTTATTGCAAGCCATAGAAAGAAATTTTCCTCACTTACAGTAAGGACCTCTACCTCCATAAAACAGGGCAGTGGTCTTCATAGGGTGTGCCTGGATCAGAAACAGAAGATTCTCAGACACAGCCTCAGGCAGGGCCATCCTTGGAGATGAAACTCCCCTCCGGCCAGGTGCTGCTGTCCTGGAAAGTAGTGGTTAAGGGACGAGGCCCACAGAGCTGGCTGAGTGCCTCTGTTACCAGCAGTGTCATATGGTTACTTTACCTGAGATCTGACGCCTTGCCCATGAGTGCCCAAACAGTGATGGTAAATGGAAAAAGAGAAAGGTTTTAAGAAAGAAGATGGAAATCAGAATTTGTTGCAAGTGGGTAATAGCTAAGGGCAATTAATTCAGAGGAAGGCATATTCACACCTTTCCCTATTCCACCTCAGTCTCTAACCACACTCTAAAAAGTGATTGTGAAAACCAGGTCTGCATGACCTTAGCAATAACGTTATTTAGCTATGGCCATTGTTCGCTTAAGTAAATTAATTTTGAATTTGAATTGTGGATAGAAACAGTAGAGGGAAATCTCAGAATTACCAAATCTGTGAGGCTCTGACACTGATTACCAGACAGGTATTATCCAACACAAGTGCCCAGGTGTTCTGCTCCAGTTGTCTGCCTTATTTGCTGAGGGTATTTGATGAGTCGTGGGGAAAATAAGGGGAGACAAGCATTTTTTATGTTGAGACATGTTTATACCATACCTTCAAGAGATTTTTGTGGCAATCTCCTTAAGTTCCCAAGATTTGCCCTTAAATGAATTAGTGCTGTGGTAGAAGTAAGAGGACGGCAAGGAGGTTGAAATAGGCAGTTAGAGGGTGCTCAGTGAGTGGGTGGTGCTGAGGCTGGATGAAGGAAGAGAGGGGTGTCTAGGACAGCCAGAGGTCTTCCCTGGGTGTTCAGTTTCAGCTCCGGGGCTAGATCTTAGTACGTGGGAGGACGCTTGTCATCTCCCTTCTTCCCCCCAGTACCACGCAGACACCATCAAGAATGTGCGCACTGCCACGGAGAGCTTTGCTTCTGACCCCATTCTCTACCGGCCAGTTGCTGTGGCCCTGGACACTAAAGGACCCGAGATCCGAACGGGGCTCATCAAGGGCGTGAGTATTCTGGGGAAGTGAGAGGGCATCCTCAGCAGTCTCTGCCTGGCCTGTGCAGCCATGTCCCTGAGACTTCAGATCTATAAATGAGGGTTTTACATATCATTGTAAAAAAAAGTTAATTTCATCTATTCACTAAGAAACTATACCAGAGAGGGAGCTTTTTTTACTCAAAAACCTACTTCCAAGTCTCTCTAACTTTGGTGAGCAATTTTTTTGTCTTTTTTCCCGTCGCTAAAAAGCAGCACAATTAAAACATTGTAGGTTTGTCTTCAGTGATTTCCTTGTCATACTAAGTTAGATAATATGATCATTTACCCCTAAAGGAAAAAGCTTTATTGTTACTTCTGGCTGAGATTTGGTTGAACATTATTCTGGGAAAAGAGCTTTCTTTTTTCCTGCCGCGAGGGTCTGACTTTTGCAGCTTGGACCCATGGCTTATCATCTTGTCTGTAGAGTGGCACCGCAGAGGTGGAGCTGAAGAAAGGAGCCACTCTCAAGATTACTCTGGATAATGCCTACATGGAAAAGTGTGACGAGAACATCCTGTGGCTGGACTACAAGAACATTTGCAAGGTGGTGGAAGTGGGCAGCAAGATCTACGTGGATGATGGACTTATTTCTTTGCAGGTGAAGGAGAAAGGTAGGTACTGGACCCTGGGTCTCATTGTCTAAAACCAGCTCCCATCTCTAGATCGCCTCCACACAAGGGGGACAGAAAGCTTACTTCGCAGCAGGGTCAAGCCTGTATGTTCTCAGGAATTCCTTTTGTTGTAACTCCTTATCCTTAACCGACATCAGTCCAGCTTGATCGTGCTCTTGGGGAGCACGTGACGAGGTGCCTTTTCAAGTCCATCCTCACTGCTCTGGCTTTCCGCTCCCACCCTCTACTCTTCAACACGACACGGGGACTCCTGTGTGCCTGCGACGGACAGCTAATATTGCTGTGCCAGACACTGTTCTAAGCATTTTGCATGATAATTTGTTAAAGTTTTAAAATGAGGAAACTGAGGCGCACAATGTAATTGACTTGCCCAAGGCCACACAGTTAGTGAGCTGGGGTTTGAACTCTGGCACTGTGGCTCTCAGGCCCGGATGTGCCAGCCCCTGGTGAGGACATGCCCTCATGGCCCTCCTCCCCTACCTGCCCCATTCCGCACAGGTGCTGACTACCTGGTGACGGAGGTGGAGAATGGCGGCTCCTTGGGCAGCAAGAAGGGTGTGAACCTCCCCGGGGCTGCAGTGGACCTGCCCGCCGTGTCAGAGAAGGACGTCCAGGATCTGAAGTTCGGGGTAGAGCAGGATGTAGATATGGTGTTTGCATCTTTCATCCGTAAGGCATCTGATGTCCATGAAGTCAGGAGGGTCCTGGGAGATAAAGGAAAAAACATCAAGATAATCAGCAAAATTGAGAATCACGAGGGAGTTCGCAGGTAAGTTCCCCCGCCTGTCCTGGCCCCCTTCAGCCCCACCCAGTTCTCTGGAGAGCAAGGTGTGTCCTGTGAATACCTGGTTCCCGGATTTGGGGACCTGCCCATCAGAATTCAGGCTCCCCAGCTTATCCCAGACCCCCTGAATCAGAATATCTTAAGAGGGGGAATTGACGGCCTTTTTTTTTTTTATGCTTCCTAAGTAATTGGGGGCCAGCATCTTGACGTTGGTTGTTTCATAGGCTCAGGAACCAAGGCTGGCGAGCACAGGGTCACCCCTCACCGCATCAGGAGCCATGGACAATCCCCTCATTCCTTCCAGTGGAAGGAAAACCGCAGGCCCTGAGGAAGGGGTTCTTTCTGGCCCCTCAGTTGGGAGCCATGTAGAAATTCAGCCTGGCATTGACACTACAGCTCACGGTGTCCTGGCCTTTGCTTAGCAGGCAGTGGGCATGATGGTCGGGCTGGCTCTGGCGTGGCAGCAGCATCCCAGAGGACAGCAGGCTGCTCTCCAGGCTCAGATTGTCTCTGCGCAGCTGAAACCCTAGAACGGCTCGGACTAGGCGTGTGCCTGGGCGGGGCGGGAGCCGCAGCCCCACCCGCTGCCTGACCCCGCAGCCCTGCTCAGCCGAGGGGAGGTGTCCTTTGTGCCAAGTGGTTTGCAGTCCTCGCTCTGCCATCCTGATAAGCAAGGGCGCTGGCTGACTTTGGCCCCAGGCCACGCAAAGCGCATGTCTTCTTGCCTTCAGGTCGGAGGGGGGCTGCCTCAGGGAGCAGCCCCAGGTGCCCCGGGCTGGAGGGGGCCGTGTCCCGAGCAGCCAGCAGGCTTCAGGTTCTCTTTCTGCCTTGGGGATGCCGGCTGGAGTGCAGATGGCACAGAGATGGCTTGAGGGGGGCCTCACAAGAGGCAGAGGAGAGGAAATGAGCCGTGTGACTTGGGAGGACACCTCGTTACCTCTCTTCCCCCTCAGTGCAGTATCTGTACGGGTGCTGAAGCCCAGCAGGCAGAACCGCGGGCTCACTTTTGGGGGCTAAGGTAGCTGAACACCTCACCATCGCCATGCACCCATGGTTATGTCGTGGATGGCTGTCCTGGTGCGAGGACAGCCAAGTCAGAGCCCCAGGAAGCCTTCCTGCGTGTCACCATGCTTGCAGTGTTGTTGACCCCTCTCTCTTCCCCACCTTCCCTGCAGGTTTGATGAGATCCTGGAAGCCAGCGATGGCATCATGGTGGCTCGTGGTGACCTAGGCATCGAGATTCCGGCAGAGAAGGTCTTCCTCGCACAGAAGATGATGATTGGGCGGTGCAACCGAGCTGGGAAGCCTGTCATCTGTGCCACGCAGGCATGTGCCTCTCCCTGGAAGCTTTGGAGGCTACCTGGTCTCTTCCCATGGAGCCTACCCCACGTACTCACTCACTCACTCTCTCTCTCTCTCTCTCACACTCTGTCTCTCACACACACACACACACACACACACACACACACAATGTACCTTCACAAATCCATACTTTGCACGTAAACGCTCTCCAGGGAGAGAGCTCGCATTCATTCGTCTCTGACCACGGCTCACTCGCGCTCTGTGCCCCCAGATGCTGGAGAGCATGATCAAGAAGCCCCGGCCCACCCGGGCTGAGGGCAGCGACGTGGCCAATGCCGTCTTGGACGGGGCCGACTGCATCATGCTGTCTGGAGAGACGGCCAAAGGGGACTACCCTCTGGAGGCTGTTCGCATGCAGCATCTGGTGAGTTCGCCGGGCCTGCCCGCCTCCTGGGGCTCCAGCCGGGGCGGGGATGGGGCAGCCTCCCATACAGAGCAACACCTTTTATCAACTTCTGTCCCGCACTCTTTTGTTATTTTCCAAGTCGCACCAAGAAGAGTGATGAGGCGGTGTATGCTGGGGGCGGGGGTGGGGGGGTCTTTTGTTTTTCTCGGTTCTGCCTTCTCTGCCCACACCCCCTCTATTGCCTTCTGTTGGAGGCATCCTCCTTCATGAGGGATCACGATTCACTTCTGGCTTCAGGATCATGAATCCTCCCTGGGCTCAAGTACTGAACTACTTGTACCTCTTCCTCTGGACAGCCCAGGGGACCAGAGTACCCCCGCCCTGTTCTGGAAAAGCCAGGGCACATGCTCGCAGCCGTCCTCTTTGGCTTCCACTTTGAGTCCCCACCTGCCCCCCAGGCAGGCACCTCCCCGACGGTCTGGGCCTACACTGGGGGCTATTGCCCGCACTGAGTTGACTGAGCTGGCCTTGCATGGTGCCTGTGGCGGGGCCTGCTTTGCTGAGCTGCTGCAGTTGCCCCAGACTGGGGGGTTAGGTGACTGCCAAGAGGGTCTGCAAATAGAAACAGGTGGAGGGGTGGCCGATCCTGGCTGGCCCTGGAGTGAAAGCATTGGGCAGAGCCCTGCAGGGTGGCACTTCCCTTCGGCTCAGCCATTCCCTCTCCCTGGCTGCTGCTTGACTCCTTGCCCTGGTGTTGCTCTAAGGATTGCTGAAGAGTTGACGTAGGACCCCATTATCAAGGTCACTTAGGCCTGGGAAAATGAATCCTCCCAATTAACTTCCTCATAATCGTCCTAGGTCAGTGTTTATGTGCAGCTCAGTGGACCTGCTGCTTTTCCTGAAGGGGTTTTATTTTTTAACCTCCCTGTTCCCTTTCCAGCCAAGAAAGGACCCCCTGCCCTTTGTGTGACACCCTCACCCCTAAGTTCCCCTAAGTTTGAAATAACCTTCCAAAAAGAACCTCAGGACGAGGTATCTTCTTTTCCTCCTTCACTTACTTTGTGTCTGATTGTTACATTTAAATTGGCTTCCAGGGAAGACATGTCACTTACATGTAACGTGTAAACACATTGTCAGTGGTGTGTCAAGACGTCTTAACTAAAGATGTCTTCTGGGTTGTCACTGGCATCCTTGGGTATCCCCGCGTTGAAATCGTCGGAGAACGATCGTTGGGGTGGCTGTGTGCCCGGCTCCCGTGCACCCTTCTGCCTGGTACACTGGCTCCTGTGATGCGTGGTGCTCCGGCCCACCTTCCCAGCTGCCCCCAGGGGTGGTGGCAGAGGGCTCGCTCTCAGTAAACAGGCTTTGAACCTGCGCCCTCTAGAGCGGCTGCCAGGGCGTTCACGGGGCTCCCCACACACTTGTGCCCTGATTGCCTTGCTCAGCTGCGTGGCCTCGCAGGTGTGAGCGTGGTCTTGACCTGGATTTCTGAACCGTGAGCCGTGCAGACTGTAAGGACTTTTATGTCTTTAGGCAAACCACTTACCCTTTTAAGACTTTATCTGTAAAAGGAGTTAGGTAGGTTTAATGGTAGCCTTAGCATTAAACATTCACTGCCATCAGTATATGCTGCCAAGTCCCTGTGTAGATTGACAGTGTCTCCTGCAGCAAGTGCTTTGTGTAGCCAGCAGTAAGGCCAGGTCTCCATCTGGAGCCGGAACTGGGGTCAGAGACAGATTCAGGCTGTGGGCTCTGATTTCTATGTCCTTTTTTCCATACCTGGTCTTCCTTATGAACAGACTCCTTAGAACTGCAGGGCTTGGAAGGTGCTGCTCGGAAGATAAGTTTCGGGGTCTGAGCCAGGCAGTATGGGCTTTTCCTTTCCGTATCCCCAGCTAACACTGCCGACAGCCTCTAACGGGTCACCGCTTCCTCCTGTGTCTGATGGATGCAGCTAATGGCCTGGAACCCAGGGCTGGGCAGTGCCACATATGATTCTGTTTGCTGCTTGTGTCCCTTGTCCTTTGTGCTGCGTGCATCCCATTCTTGCAGAAAGAAAACCTGTAACCTGGTAAATCCTGCCACGTACCTGCTTACACTGTCAAATTAATGAGCTGGTATTACTGATTGGCCCCTCACCCATCATTCTCTAAGATGCTGGTAATTTCATTTCATCCTCTAAAGCTTAAGTTTTTCTGATTCCTGGTGTCACCTGATCAGGTTGCCTGTAAATAACTGAATGGCTTTCTCCTGACTGTTTTAATCATTAGATTTTAATCAAATACCTGTTACACATAACTGTGCTTCTGTGGGCAGCTGTCTCTTCACATGGCTGTCAGCGTGCCCCTCACCAGTTCGCCGGCTTTCCACCCTCCTGCTCGGGACATGGCTAAGCCACGTGGCTTTGGCTTGGTCTGACCCCAGCTTTCCAGCACTGCTCAGTGCATTCCATGGCAGGCCCAGGCTCCTAGTATTCTTGGGCCTGAAGCCAAGCCAGCACTCCATGTGTACATGGAAGCTGGGCAGGAAGCCCTGTGGTGACCAGACAGCCATGTGAGGACAGAGGGCCTGTTCCCTCCCGTAAGCTGTGGCATGAGGCAGCGCGGTCAGGTCCTGCCTGGGAGTGGCATGGGCCCAGCTGGGGCATTTCCCTTGCCAAGGTGCTAGAGCCTGCTGCTGTATTATCTCCCCAGTCCCCGGTCAGATCCTTCCAGAATGGAAGAACCAATGTCCACCATTGGAGGGGCAGCAGCAGTTGATGCTGGAGATTCTCCGCGCATCCCAGAGCGGCTGGGCTTTACCATGCTGCCTCTGTGCGTCTGCCTGAAGGACAGATCTAGCCAGTTAACCCAAGGTTGCCTTCCTCTGATTGATTCCCCATTCTGTCTTTCCATGTGTTGTCTCTTGTTTTTCCCTTTCTTCTTCCCTCTCCTTGCCTTTCCTCCTCTTTAAACCTTACAGATAGCTCGCGAGGCTGAGGCAGCCATGTTCCACTGCAAGCTGTTTGAAGAACTTGTGCGAGCCTCAAGTCACTCCACAGACCTCGTGGAAGCCATGGCCATGGGCAGCGTGGAGGCTTCTTATAAGTGTTTAGCGGCAGCTTTGATAGTTCTGACGGAGTCTGGCAGGTAGGGCCCGGAGGGCAGGCGACTGTAGGATAACCAGCCTCTTGCTCCAGCCAGTGTAGAAGATAGCCAGTGCCCAGCCCTACCCCGGGGCCTGGGCTCTGAGCCTCTTCTCTCACCTGCAGGAAGGCAGGCAGGCAGGGCAGGGCAGGGCAAAGCTTGGTAGGCACGGTGGACACCACAGGCCCCTGGAGCAGGACTGCTTCCTGGAGTCTTGATCTTGCTCAGCCTCAGACTCGCTCCTGAGCGGCCCTCTTGGCCTTTGCACTAGGGACATGCTCCTCACCAGCTGTCTGTGCAGCTCTTCCTCCCCCTCTCCCGCTGTGACGCAGCTCTGACAAAGCTCTGTCCCCCTCTCGTCCCTCTGGACGGATATTGCTCCCCTAGATTGCCCGTGAGGCAGAGGCCGCCATCTACCACTTGCAATTATTTGAGGAACTCCGCCGCCTGGCGCCCATTACCAGCGACCCCACAGAAGCCGCTGCCGTGGGTGCCGTGGAGGCCTCCTTCAAGTGCTGCAGTGGGGCCATAATCGTCCTCACCAAGTCTGGCAGGTAGGAGGTGGCGGCAGGTCCCTGGGAGTGCCCTGCTCAGTAGCACCTTTCCTTGGGTGTCCTGGGAGCAGTGCGTTGCACAGTGATCAGATGGCACTCTGCCAAGGTAAGACCCCTCTGCCTGCCACCTGGACCCTGCAGGGCAGGAGCTACCCCAGGCCAGGATCCAGGAAGGAGCACAGCCCCTTTTCTGGCCCAAAGGACTCCAGGCAGCACTCGTAACATGTATTGGAGCATTTGGATCCCCAGCAAGTTTTTGCCCTCAAGATGAACTAGAGACTAAATTGCATTACTGCTGTTAGATTGACAAAAATGGTTATTTGTTACTTAAAAGTTGGTCTTTGTAAAGTAAAAGACAGCGCCAGTTTTGCTTGTTCAGTTACTGTGTGCTCTTAGAAGCTCAGTTTGGGAAAGGAGCACTCGTCCAGGTCGTGCTCGTTGGCGCACCTGCCCCCATCTGTCTTTAAGCCCTAAGGGCAAGTGGGTTCTGGCCCAGGAAAGGTCACCAAGTTGTCTTCCTGGCACTCAGGCGCCACGCAGCCAAGCGTTGACCTGAGCGTGGGATCCGTTCTTGTCCGAGACATCATCCTGCCCTCCTCAAGTCTGGAAGTGTGCCCCTGGCCTCTGCCCACAGGGCGGCTCGGGTTTCCTGGAAGCGGAGGGTGGAGAGAAGACAAGCAGCCCCCATGCACTGAGGAGCAGCAGGTGGGGCTGCCTGCAAACCTAGGACACGGGACCTGTGTGGCTTCCCTCAGCAGAGGGCTCAGGACAAACAGCTCCAACCGTTAGGGCTGACCTTTGTGAGAAGGCCCAACCTTTGCTATTTGGCTATTTTTAGCTCCAGTCTTCTGAATTTCACTCTCAGCTCAGCCGGACTCTAGCAATTGCTTCCCTCTAAAAGGAGGGAGGCCCGGCCTTAAGCAGAGCAGTTCTCAGCTGTCACATGACTTAAGTTTCCCTGACACCTGTTGAGTGTTCCCATGGCTTGCCTTCTGGGGTCCAGTTTCTCCTGCAAGCAAGCTCCTCCCCAACTCCAACCAAAAGTATAAAGGGTCCATGTTCAAGGAAGCACCTGGCTTTGGGAATTGAAAGGGGCCCTGAGCCCCGAGAGGAGCCTTCACAGGCAGAGCTGCCTACAACAGCACGGCCATCTATCTCCTGGTCTGGCCTTCCGGGGAAGCACCCAGGTTTCCAAGCCTTGCTTAGATTCTCAGATGGCAGATGACTTACTCATGTGGCTTTTGTCCCTGTATAAGTAAGATATCATGGGATATCATGCCTCTTGGCTCTGGAGCCCAGTTGCTGAGGTTGTTCCAGGGACCTGGAGCCATGTGGTTGGGGAGAGGGCACAGCTATAGGGAAAGCTTGTACTGGAGATTGCTGGGGGCTGAGGGGTTGTGCTCCTATTTGCAGATGTCAAGGTTCAGGTGCTATTCACACGTTGCATTGTTTGCAGCTGTTGCTGGCAGCAAGGGCTGGGGGTGCTGGTGAGGTTGGATAGGGCTGTGCCAGAATGGAAGAGCTTAGCAGTGGGAGGGGTTCTGTCACCCATGGGCCATGTGGGGTAAGTGGGTGACACTCACTGTGCTGGGTTGGTATGGTCCTGGGGCCGCAGCCTGTGGGGAGGGGAGGGTGACAGGCAAGTGGATAGCCTGTCTGTGAGGAAGAGTTACATGCTGTGGTGAGCTGCAGCCTCGTGAGCAGACACTGAAGTGGCCAGAGCCTCAGGCTGGCGTAATCATTGGATCAGAGGGCGAGCTGTTGGCTGAAGGCCCTGAGAGCTTCCTGGGAGGCTCCTGGGGACAGTGTTGAATGATGTTTCTGCCTGTGCTCCATCCCATCTCAGGTCTGCTCACCAGGTGGCCAGGTACCGCCCTCGCGCCCCCATCATTGCTGTGACCCGGAATCATCAGACAGCTCGCCAGGCCCACCTGTACCGCGGCATCTTCCCTGTGTTGTGTAAGGACCCAGTGCAGGAGGCCTGGGCAGAGGACGTGGACCTCCGGGTGAACTTGGCCATGAATGTTGGTGCGTGGCTGGGAGCCTGAAGGGATGGGGAAGGTGCTTGAACCCTGGCCTGAGACCCTAAGAGAGGGGGAACATGCAGACCTTAGGGAGCAAGAGCCCTAGCTGTTCTCACTGGTATGTCCTCTGACCCTCCATCCCCTTCCCTGGAATCCGGGGCTGAGCAGCCCAGTCCTTCTCACTCTCTTCCAGTCTGGGGCCCAAAGCAAAAAAGGGGTCCAGGAGAGTCAAGAGTGTCTGTTCTTTGGCATCTAGTCATTACTGAGGTTTTTTATAAAATTAGCCAGAGCTCCTACAGTATGGCATGGCAGATTACTTACTCGTGTGGCTTCTGTCCCTGTGTAGAAGTAAGGTATTACGGGATAAGAGCAGCTGGCTCTGACCTTTGGGCAAGGCACTCCACCCTCTAGCCTAGAAAATGGTGTCCAAGCGTCCTGGCCAGCTCAGCCAACCCATCGATAAAGGACATGTCAGAGCTTCCCTCGTCCCCTTTGCCTGGGCCGTGCGGCTGGCGCCACCTTGTGGTACAAGGAAGTAATGGTCAGCCATCCCTGCTTGTGCTTCCCCCGGCTGGGAGGCAGTGGTCGAGGTGCATACCTACCTGGCTTGGCTTTTACTCACCAACCTCTCTCCTCTCCTCTAGGCAAGGCTCGAGGCTTCTTCAAGAAGGGAGATGTGGTCATTGTGCTGACTGGGTGGCGCCCTGGCTCCGGCTTCACCAACACCATGCGTGTAGTCCCTGTGCCATGATGGGCCCCAGAGCCCCTCCTCCAGCCCCTGCCCCATCCCCCTTCCCCGCCCCCCCATCCATTAGAGCAGCAGTGCTTGTAGTGCTCACTTGGGGCTGTAGTGTGGCACTTGTAGGCCGGGCACAAGGGAAGAAGATAAATGCCTCTGAAACATGGCTGTTTTTGAGACCTTGGGTCATGTGACTCCACCCAAGGAAGGAAGGGTGCAGGAATGGGGGCCCCAGCGCTTAGCACAGAGGGCAACAGCTCCTGCTTCCGTTCCTTTGTGTACTTGATACAGTTCCTGTAGAAAAGGGATTCCCAGAGAACTTGAACCCTGGCCTGGGGTCAGGAGACAACCTTAAGAGTAGGGCCTGGGGTAGTGGTTCCAGTTCAGGCAGGCCCTGGCCCTTGCTGCTCCAGCCGCGGGCTCTCCCACTCCCACTGTGTTGTGCACAGTGCACTTGTGTTCCGACACTCCACTCAGCTGTTGCTGCAAACACTCCGCCCTCCACCTTCCATTTTCCCTACTGTGGCAGGCCTGTTGCTATAGAGTCTACCTGTGTGTCAATAAACAACAGCTGAAGCACCTGTTTCCTCTCCTGATTGGGGTGCAGAATGGTTGAAGGGTGCCCTCTGACTAGGGCGAAAATGGCAAGAGCCTGGAGTCTCCTGGAGGTTTGTCCTGTATAACAACCTGGGCCACCTGCCTTCCAGGGTGCACAAGTGCTGGCGAAGCTGTAGCTCAGTATGTTGAGGGTACTGGTTTATCCCGTGGGCCTCAGGCGTAGTAGCTGAGGCTCCAAAGTCTGCAGCTGGGGAAATTCTAACGGCTATTTGGGACCAAAGACAGGAGAGGGCAGCCACGGGGGCCCCTCCCTCCTGCTCTGGTGGGTGAACCAGAGCGAACAGCCCCTGCTCTGCCCTGCCCCTCATCTTAGGTCCTGCAGCTGGAAGATGAGGCAAGGTTCCACTCGAGTTTCCAGAATATTTGTGGCCCTCTGGCTCCCTTTGTGGCCCTCTGCCAATGCTCTCCATGATGAAGCTGGGCCAAGGAGGGGGGAGAAGTGTGGGAATGAAACAGTCTTTCCTGACTGTCTTGCCAGTGGGTTTCAGCCCCCGGCAAGTTTGCTATGGATTCAATGTGACCAAAGAAATTGACAGCAAAACGTTCTTGGGGTGAAAGGGTTATACCCAACTTTATTTCCAGGGGTCAGTCACTAGAATCCCATTCACTCAGAGCGAGTCTGCATGCAAGCTGGTCTCTGCCTCTGGGCCCCTCTGCACAGTTGTCCTGCACAGCCGTCCTCTGGGCCTCTGTCCTCGGCGCTGCCACCACTCCAACCTCACTGCTCTGCTCTCCTGCAGCCTTGCAGCCCTGCCACCATGTTGTGCCCAGAGCACTGGGTGGGGCTCTTTATATAGAGTCAAATTGCCCACAGGTGTGCAGTGAGCTAGTCAACCAGGGGACAGGTGAGAATCCTGGCCCCAGGAACTCTCATTTTATCCACACTGACCCATCCCAAGGGAGGAAGGGGCCCGCAGCCTACTTGGGATGGGGGAATGGGCCTTCTGTCTTATTCTCAAGGCCCGGCTCATTTTCATACCCTACCAGCTGGGCTCTTCTGCCTGTGCTGTTGTAGTCTTTAATTTTTGACTATCTTCAGTTCCAATTTAAGCACCAAAAGCTTTTTACCTGGGAGACCGCAAAATTCCCAACACTGGGGAAAGTGCACACAGCCTCCTAGCCCCCGGCCTGTCAGACTACCATGTCCCCAGTACCCTGTGGGTCCCCTACCCGTCTTGGCTCTTACGGTGAGGAGAGAAACTGAAACCTACCTGCAGCTCAGCGTGGGGAGGGTGGGTTCACAGGGGGTGCTGGGCCCCAAGACTGGAAGGGGAGCAGAGGAGGAACCCGGAGGGGGACCCTCGGGCCTAGTTTAAGGAGCCGGAGATGCGGACCCAGGTGCTGGCCTCCAAGACGGGCACAGCTGCGGGATCCTCGCAGAGCCTGGGCCCCACCTGGGTGTGGAGGAGGGGCAACGAGGGCCAACGGGCTGCCCCGCCCCGCACGGGCGGCCAGTGGGCGGGCGCAGGCGGGCCCTCGGGGGCGCGGCGGGCGGGAGCCTCTCCGTGCCGGCGGTTCCCGAGCTTGGAGGCGCCGCGATGACCGCTCTTCGCCGGGGCGAGGCCACCGAGGCGGGCAGGTAAGGGGCTTCTGTTCGCTGGGCGCGCCCTTCAGGCTCCCGGAGTGCGGGCTGTGCCCCAGCGCTGCGCGGGGCGACGGGCCCGACCCTGGGGGGTGAGGGGCGTCCGCGCGGCATCCGGGCGGTGCAGGGCGCACTCCTTGGGACGCCTCCAACCGCCCCGCCACCATCGCCACTCATTCGTTCATGCCCCGGCCATATCGACCCCTAGTCCGGGCTGACCCCCGCGCGCATCTGGGCTTCCCAGCTGGCCCTCGGAGGGGTCGGCCTCTCGCTTCTTCCAGCCGGCTTAGCTATTGTGGCGGCCTGTGGCTGCCCCGGAGGCGGCGTGGAGCTGTCCCAGCACGATTTGGCCGCACCCGTGCTCCAGGCTGGTGCCCGCCGGGCGGGCTTGGGTTGATCTCTCAGCCTCGAGATGGATCCAAAGTCGCCCTTAGAGGAAGGAAAGTGTTCGCAGCTAGGTAAGGGATGAGGAGGTAGGGCAGGCGGGAGGTGGCGTTTCGGGGGACATCAGCAGTTGTGGCCTTTGAGGCCTTGGGGCTCTGGGGGTGGGATTATTTGGGGAAGACTGAGCCAGTGGATGAACCTGTAATTTCCTTGCCCAGACCCCAAGCCCCACAATCACCGGCACCCCTGGCCAGCTAGCACCGGCGCAGGTCGGATGAATGTATGAGCCCTGTGCCCACTCCAGAGGGGTGTGTGGAGCTGGTGAAATGTTTCGGAGTTCCCGTTGTCTAATTTGCCCTTCTTTGCTCCGCGTGCCCCTCCCTTCCCCAATGATTGTTTAAGGGTGCCCGTCCTTGCAGGGACCAGACTCCTAGGGAGTGGGAGAGAGTGCCTGACAATTAATTCATGAGGTCTTTGCCCATGTATACCTCAGCTGGCTTTGAAGTCCAGCTCTTTTCAGAGCAAAGACTTAGGGTTTGCAGCAAAAGGTAGGGTGCAGGGTGTTGCTCTCCTCCAGCAGGTAGGGCCCTGGTATGCCGGCTCCGCAGTCCTCTGATGTGCGGCTGGAGTCCATCCAGTCCACGCTGCCAGATACTCTCAGGTCTGAGGTTAGACTTTGACAGGGCCAGTTAAGCAGTGAGCATCTCTGGGGCCGATGGGCAGGTCTAAAGGGCAAAGCTGGCAGAGGCTGCTACCGAGCACCCTGGAGAGTTTCTGCTGGGGCCAAATCCAAGCTCTCCTTCCCGACCTGCCTTTGGGAGAATTTTCTGAATAGCCTAGAGAACAGCCCAGGCCCTCTCTATGCCCGAGGTTACTGGTTCTTTCCAGTTCTCGAGCTTAGGTGAGTCCTTAAAGCCTTGGTGCAGACCAGAAAGGCCTGTGTGCCAGGGTGTCCTCCCAGGGGGACACCCTGAGTCTGAGACTGGCAGTACTGAAGATGCATTTATGCCAGCCAGGCTTCCTGAAGCTCTTCCCCTTGCCTGCTTGGGTGCTCTTTGGTGTCTGAGTCTGGACACCCAGAAAGTAATTTGCTTTTCTTGTTTCCTGAAAGTGAAAATAACTCCCCCCAAGGCTGCAGACGTCTCTGTTGGGAGGGTAAGTTTGGCATGAAGTCAGTCTTGGCCACTGTGCAGCTATTCACCTGGACTGCGGGGCATCACTGTCACCACCTGTTACCACTAATCTTTGAAACTTTGATCAGTTCCCCAACTGTTCACCTAATGTAGGAAAAGGAGGAGGGGGAAGGGTATACGCCCCTCGGCATGGAGCTGCCTGGGATTTAAGAAGTAGCTGCTTCCCCAAGGGCACAGCATAGAGTCCAGAAGAAAGGCGCTCTTCCCCAAAATATAAACCCGTACAGGGCAAACTGGTTTCTTCTCTACACCACAACTACGTTAGTTTAGAAATGCTTGGTCATTATTTAGGACTGGAGTTTTAAAACCTGTGGAGGTTGAACCACTCTTTAAGTCTTTGTCCTAAATTAGTGTTTCCTCAGGTGATGTTTAATATCCATTTAAAAATCGCATTATTCATTTTTTAAACACATTTGTTTTTGGCTGGCACTACTTTTTCAAATATCTGGAATTAAAAGCACATAAAGAACTGGTTTAAATCAAACATGAATTGCTTTTTCTCCTAACATGCTGACACGACACGTCAATGGTAAATAATTGTCAAAATCCTACTTGTATTTCATTTCATCGGCACCCCTTTTTCCCTCTGACTTAGGGTCAGAGCAGCAATGTGGGTGGTATCTCTGAGCAAACAGGTGGTATGATTGGTTATGAGAATTTTTTTTTCTCTTTTCTGTAGAAAAAAATTAAGTACTAATATGTGTTAGCATTGACCAAGTTACTCAAAACTTCATTACCAACCCAGGCCACACAAGATGCTATTTAAAAATGATTTTTGAATCCTGAAGGGGTATCTAGAAATTTTATTTTAAAATAATCCAGGGACAATACCTCAGAATTGACCATACTGGGCTTCCTTGATTACCAAAAAGTTGAAAAATGTTTACATTTTTAATCTTTTTATTGTAGAAAATTTCAAACATATACAAAAGGAGAGAATAGTATAAGCATGGCGTGCCCATCATCCAGTTCCCACAGTTACCAAATGAGGGGCCAGTCTTGGTCCCTATATGCCTCTAGTCTCTCTCACTCCTGGATTATTTTGAAGCGAATCTAAGATTTTATATTATTTCATCCACAACTATCTTGGTGTTGATCTATAAAAGACCAAGTCCTTTTAAAAAATTTAACTGCAATGCTGTTATCACACCTGAATAATAACAGTAACTCCTTAAAATCATTCAGTAGATAGTCAGTGTTTCATCTCGTAAATGTCTTTGTACCATTTGTTTATTTAATAAGAATCCAAATGAGGTTTATATAGCTGGCTGGCATATTGAATATATATCTCTATAATCTCTTGTAATCTATGGGTTCCCCTTCTATTTCTTCTTTTTTTTTCCTTGCAAATTATTTGTTAAAAAAATCATGTTATTTGTCCTATACCATTTCCCAGCTTGTTGATGTTTCAAATGTTCCTCTGACTCCTGTATTTCTTATAAACTGGGAGCTGGATCTAGCGGTTGGTCGGATTCAGGAGGTACGGAGCTCTTGAGGGAGCGCAAGAAATCTGGTTATTTCTCTTTGGAGGATGTTATCAGCCACTGATGATTATTTCATTTAGGCCATTATGTCATTAGAGACTGCAAAATGGTATTATTACTCTAATTCTGTTACTCCTTCATCATTTATTCCTGTCATCCTGAATCTCTCTATAAAAAGAAATGTCCCCTCTTCAACTATTTGCTTACCCAGAGGTATAGCCAGTACTACTAGAAAAACAGAATAAATATTTAACTTTTTCCGTTTATTTACAAGTTTTCAAAATAATGTGATGGGTTCCTAGTATCTACCAAAGTTGACCAGTGAGTCATTTTGGTATTATTATGATCTCATGGGTTTAAACATATTTGATATATTTCAGTCCATTTTAGACATCAATCTTTCCGATGCTTTCCATCTTCAAGTTGGCTCCTGAATCCATGTGCCCTGCCTTCAGTCTTTGATGGTTTTCTTGCTTTCTGGTATGATTAGATATTTTAGGCTCAATAGTGCATTTCCTGCTCCAAATCTGGAATCAGCTATCTCTCCAAGGGGTGCTGGTTTCTCTTAGTGGGAAATGGTTTTTAGAGAGCACAATCTAAACACCAGGGGTGCTTATTGCTACCTGAACATTTATTTTTTAAAGTAATCCATTTTGGAGTTCATATTTTAAACCCATTTTATTACTGATCAAATTAAGGTTGTATTTCCTGTCATTCTTAGAGTCATAGGCTACATTAAAAATCTAATAAAAATGAAATGCTCTCTTTCCAGAAACAGGTCCCTTTGTTCAGACACAACAATTTTGCCCCAAATTCCAGGAGTTCACAGACATGCTCTGCAACTCTTGTCTGGACTCCAGGGTCCATTAGACTGTCAGTCAGAGTCCATAATGATGGAGGAAGACCTGGGAGGTGAAAGCAAGTGGGAAAGCTAATGGGTTTTGCAATATCAGACCCAGGGGAGGTTAGGAGTGGTCACGGCCCAAACTCTGTACTGGTCTCACCAGCAGTTTAGATCAAGGAATGAACTTGAGGACTAAGGTTTGTTCTTTGGTGAAGGATTGCTAAACAGAGCAGGGTCCATTTGGGTACTGGAAAGAACTTTCTAATAAGCCGGGCTGCAGTGATGTGTCTGATGGATAATATTCACAGGTAGGCACACATTTTGAAATTCCTTGTGCCTACTTGCAACCCCACCTTTATTTCACCCACTCTAATATTTATTTGCTTACACCAAGGTTCTTGATATGGATAATACTAAGTTTTTTTTCCTTTTAAGTCATTCTCAGATAACAGTAAGAGGCTGAGTTTTCAGAAAGACCTGGATTCACATCCTTGCTCCAGAAGTTACTGCTGGCTCTGAGCCTCCCTTTCTTCGTCTATAATACAGACTAACATCTGGCCCTTGAAAGGTTCTCAGGCTATGTATGGTCTGGCACACAGTTGGTGTTCACCAAAAGTTATTTTCCCTGCGGTGCCTCCAGCTTTGAGACTCTGAGACCAGGCGTCTCTGATGATTGAGCCCCAGCTCTAAGGAAAGTTTGGTCTGGTCTCCTTTTCAGGATGCACAGTTGATTTTTCTTTTTAATAAACATTTTATTTTGAGATAATTGCAGATTCACAAGCAATTGTGTGAAACCGTACAGAGACTATGTACCCAGTCGCTTCCACTGGTTCCATCCTGCATAACCATAGCCCAATAGCACCAAGGACCTTGATCCAAGGACCTTATTCAGATTTTACCCATTTTACATGCACTCATTTGTGTCTCTGTGTGTGTGTTTTATTACATATGGGGATTTGGCAAAGTTCATTTTTAAAATCAGTCTCTTTTTCTGTTGGGCTCTGAGGGCTTACATGTTAGAAGAATGATGTTTTAGGAATTTGGAATTTTAAAGGTATCTGTGAATCTTACTGTGCCCTTGGGAACAGATTTTTTCTTGCGCTACCCTTCTTTTTATTCTTTTCACCAAATGAAAGTAATTTATTATGATCATAAAACTTAGGCAAAGTTCATAGAAAAAAATAAAAAATACCTAAAATCCCAACTCACAGAGAACAATATTATTAGAATTTTGGTGAGCATCCGTCCCACATGTATTTTATTCTGCAAGCTGTTCTATGTAATCCTTTTTCCAATGTTCTATAATACTATCTTTCCATGTTAATATAGATGTGTTTTTAATAAGTTTTAATAAAAAATTTTTAAGTATGATTTTAATAGTTGCACTAGCCTTCCATTCTATAAGCAAACCATAATTTGTTCATGCCTTATTTTTTCTCTTCTAACTATACTTCAGTGAACATTCTTATACATTTAAACTTGTGTCCAATTACATCTTAAGAATAAATTGTTAGAAATGGATTTTATGGGTCCAACAGGTATCTCCATATAAAATGTATATGTACCTTTTCTCACACTGACCTACACACAGTAGTGAGACTGCCCATTCACCCACCGTGTTGATTTGATCAACAGTAGATATTATTAAACTCTTAAGCCTTTGAAGTTGAGTAAGTAAAAAAAAGAAAAGGATATCTTTTCTACCTTTTATTTTTAAATATCTTCATTGTTTTTGCTGACTTTAAAAGTATTACATGCCTGTTATAATAAGTTAAAACAAAACAGAAATTAACAGAGTAAAAATCACCCATAATTCTTTCCTGAGTTATAATCACTACTGTTTGATATATTATTATATTTGATATTTTTTGACCCTGAAGTATAGATTTTTAAACTTTATAAATGGATTATATCTTACTTGCTAATCGGTACCTGTTTTTCACTAAGTAGCATATTTTGGGCTTTTGTCCATATAAGCACATGCAGGTATACTCCAATCTTTTAGTCAATTGCATAGGTATCTATTATAGTGATAAAATATTGTGGTATTTCTACTTTTCTCCCCATAATTGTTAGCCATATAAATATTAATTTTTGCCTACTTGCCTATTTATTTCCTTATACAAGTTCCATGAAATGGAGTTGTTGGATCAAAGAATTTGTTTCTTAAAGCATTTGATATATGTCAGGAAGATTAACTCAGTTTTCAGTCCCAGCGTGGGGTATGAATACCGTTTATTTCCCACAACCTTGGTAATATTGAGTGGGATAGTTTTTTTAAATGTTTACCAATAAGATCGATAAGAGAAAGATTTCTTCTTTTCTGACTTTCCTGTTCATATTCTTTACTTTATAATCTGTTAGATTGTTTACCTTTTTCTTACTGGCTTGAATGAACTCATTACATGGTAAAAACACCAATTCTTTACCAGTTTAAATTTTGATGTACTAAGGTTTTAAATTTCTATGCAATTGAATTTTTGGTATGTTATGGGTTTTATACCTTGCCTAGAAAGACTTTTCCTGATTTTCTAATATTCTCCTCTATTTTATTTTAGTTCTTTATTGATTTAGAAAATATTTGAATGTTTATCTACCTGGAATTGTGAATGGTATGCGGTAGCCAGTAGCCCCACACCATTTATTGCACAATCCATTCTTCTTTTACTTACTTGAAACACCTTCTTCACTATATATGAAATTCTCAGATACCCATAGATAATGTTCTGTTTGGACTCCGTCTTATGTGCTTTTGATCTTTAAATCTTTCATAAGCCAGTAAATTCCATTTTATTTTAGTTGCTCCAGCTTTGTAATTTGTTCTGACATCTGGTAGGGCAAAGCCCTTGCTTTAAATTTAGTATAAATACACTGCTTTAAGATTAACTTTGAATCTTCCCACTCGAGAACAGAGTTTCTCTGTCCATTTATTAAAGGCTTCTTTCATATTATTAAAAATGTTTGTGGTTTTCTTCTCATGGATTTTCTACATTTTAAAAGTTTATTCTTGAGCATATTGTATGTGTTGTTGCCTTATGAATAGAATCATTTTCCCAAACATGTCTTATAACTGTTTATTGCAGGTCTACAGAGAAACTATGGATTTTCATGTTGATCTTGTAACCAGTACAATAAGAACGAACTTCACAAGAGTTCATTAGGTGTCTATCCCCATCACAGCTCTGCCTCGCCCAGTGCCCAAATAAAAAGAATATCTGGGCCACTTTCTTACGATTTTTCCGTTGATTTTATGTCCTCTAGGTTTTCCTTGCCTTTGTGCAATGGCTAGAACCTCCAGAACAGTGTTGAATACTGGTGGTGAGAGCAGGCATTCCTAGGGGGTTTCCACCAGTTAGACAACCTGGGGTTCTCCCTGGAGGAGGAGGTCCCAGGACCCAGCAGGCCCCTTAAGGCCAGGTCATCACTCACTTATCTGAACTCGCAGCAGGAGCGCAGCCTAGCGAGCCGAGCTGGCTGGAGCTTGAGCAGTGCGGAGTCCACCCTGCTTGGGGCTCCCAAGTCCCGGCCCGCTGCCGGCCCCGACCCAGGACGGGGACTGGACTGGGGCGCGGGCTGCCTTTTTAGGGAGGCCAGGAGGCGCGGGTGCGGCTGCTGCTCCCCGACCAGCCCCCCGACTCTGCCCCAGGTTTTGCCCCTACCCTACGGACCATCCGCCCTCCCCGAAGGGCAGGCCGGGCGGGATGTGTGGCTCTGGCCCCGGCGCTGGCGCGGAGGTGCTGGCATTCGGGTGGGGCTGCCCTCTGCGCCCGCGACCCAGCGCTTCCCGGCTTCTTCCAAGGGCAGGCGTGGAAGAAGGACTTGAGGTTCGGGGGCTGCGGCGAACAGACGCCCCAGGGGTGGAGGAGCGGCAGGTGAGACGGCTGGGCACCGGGCACCGGGCAGCACCCCGTGCCTCCGAGCCGGCAGACGCCCCGCCCAAGGCAGCAGGCGAGGAGCGCGCATTCCCTTCCCCTTCCTCCCCGCCAGTACCTCCGCGCTCTTTCCCGGCCTGGAAGGGGGGACCCGGGGCCGGCGTGCTGCTGGGCTGGCCGGAGACCGGGCCTTCGGCTGGGCGCGGCAGCAGCCTCAGGTGTGCTCGAAGGCCTGTCCTCACTGCCCGTCCCCGGTCACAGCCAGCAGCCTGGGGGGAGGAAGGAGAAGCCGACCTTTCAGCACCTGCGCCTGGATTCACCCCCCGACTGCCGCACCCCCACTGTCCTGGCTGAACCTGCTGGTGCTCGCTCTGTAGCCGAAGTTGCTGACTGCCTTTCCGTCTTCCTCCTGTTTGGCCTCTCAGCAAACTTGGGTGCTTTCCATTCCCCCTTTTCGAATCGCGACTTTGGCTTCCACTTTGTATACCTGCTTTTCTTTCTACTTCTAGGTTCACTGTCCCCTACTCCTCCTGGGGACTCCTCTTCCTCCTCCACACAGTCTTTTAAGTGTTGGGGTTCTTCAGGTCCCAGACTTCTCTCCACCCCCTCTGCCCCCCACCCCTTGACTCCTGACATGTAATTCACAAGCCATAAAATCCACCCTTTTAAATGATTCCATCAGTGGCTCTTTCTGTATTCATAAAGATGGGGTTACATCACTGTCAAAAGAAACCCTATGTGCACTAGTCACTTCTAGTAACCCCCACCTCTACCCCCAGCACCTGGCAACCACTTAGCTACTTTCTGTCTCTATGGATTTGCCAATTCTGGAAATTTCCTGTACATGGAATCACACGCTATGTGGTTTTTGTGACTGGCTTCTTGCACTTAGCATAATGTTGTTAAGGTTCATTCATTCTGTAACATATATCAGTAGTTCATTCTTTTTTATGGCTGAATTATATTTCACTGTATAGATATGCCACATTTTGTCTAGCCATTCACCATTTGTTGGGTATTTGGGTTGTTTCCATTTCTTTTGGTTAATTATAATGTGTAAGCATTCTTGTACAAGATTTTGTGAGCACGTATGTTTTCAGTTCTGTTGGGTACATGCCTGGGAGTGGAATTGCTGGGTTTTATAGTGACTGTGTGTTTAACCATTTGAGGAACCACCAAACTATTTCCCAAAGCAGTTACACCATTTTGCATTCCCACCAGCGATGTATGAGGCTCCAGGTTCTCCACATCCTCACCAGCACCTAATGATGGTAGTCTCCTGGTGGGTATCGAGTGGCATCCGACGGCGGCATTGAGCTGCATTTCCCTGATTACTAGAGATGTTTAGCATCTTTTCCTGTATTTATTTGTCATTTAGTATCTTCTGTGGAAAAACACCTTTCAAACATTTGCTCCCTTTTAGTCGTATTGTCTTTTTATTTTTTAGTCTTAGGAGTTCTTTTCTTTACATTTAAATGGAGGCTAAGGAAAACATAAGATTTACAGTCTTAATGATTTCCAAGTTCGTTTGTGCTGTAATGTTAAGAATACCATATTGTTGTGCAACCAATCTCCAGAACTTCTTTCCAAACTGAAACTCTATACCGATTAAATAACTCTCCATTTCCCCTTCCTCTAGCCCCAGCAACCACCATTCTACTTTCTGTTTCTATGCATCTGACTGTTCCAAATACTTCATATAAGTGGAGTCATACCATATTTGTCTTTTTGTGGCTGACTTATTTCACTTAGTGATAATATCTTCAACTTTGTAAGCGTTCATTATATATTCTTGATGCTGTGCCCTCATCTGATATATGACTTCCCATTCTGTGCGTTGTCTTTTCACTTAATAATATCACTAGCAGTACGAAAGTTTCTAATTTTGATGAAGTTCTATCAAAACTATTTGATCTATTTTTCTTCTGTGTCTTGTACTTTTGGTGTCACATCTTAAGAGACCATTGCCTAATTGAAGGTCACAAAGATTTACATCTATGGTTTCTTCTGAGTTTTATAGTTATAGCGCTGACATTTTTTAGTTAATTTTCACATATAGTAAGAGATAGAGGTTCAACATAATCCAGTTGTCCTAGCACCATTTATGGAAAGATCATTCTTTACTGCACTGGGTTGGTCTTAACAGCCTTGCTGATAGCTTCTCTTTTCTATGTACCCTTTGTCCCTGGGCCGGTATTTCAGAAATGTCTCTTCAGCCTGGACCTTTCTTCTGAGCTCCTTGCATATACAGCTTGACATCTCCACTTAAAAGTTTCTCACCCATGTTCAAGACTAAATTAGTGAACTAATGTTTCCTTCAATATGCTCTTTTTACAATATATTTTTCCCTGTTTTGTCTCAGCAAAACAGATCAGTTTCCCACTTGTTAAAGCCAGATACCTAGAGTCTTATGTGACACTTTTGCTCTTATGTCCCACATTCAGTTGACTACCAAGTCAGGTTGATCGCATTTGGAAATACGTATCCTAAATCCATTCCTAGCCCTCCATCATCGCTGCACCAAGGCTGAGACATCGTCTGTCTGCTGGAATACAATCTCCTAACTTATCTGCCTCCATGGAAAATTTTAAACATATCCCAAAAGAGGAGGGAGTTGTAGGGTGGGTCCCCATGTACCCATCACCCAGCTAAAACCGCCACCAGCATAAGGTCGTCCCTATTCTTTCCATCAACATTCACCTTCTACTCCCTCTGCCCCACCTCCTTTGGATTATTTTTAAGCAATTCTGTGTATCGGAGTGATCTCTGAAGCACAAAGTCAATCGTGTATTTCTCCGTTTGAATCCCTTCATTGGTTCCTCATTGCTTTTAAGAGAACGATGCAAACCCTTCCTGGGGCCCAAAGGGCCCGGCATGAGCTAGCGCCACTGACCTTGCCAGTATTACTGCTTGTCACTTGACTACTCACCTCTACCTTCCAGACACAAAGGTGTTGTTTATGCCCCTCCTACATGCCGCACACCTCCGGCCTCAGGGGCCGTTGCACATCATGACCCCTCTAGAATGACCCCTCTCCAGCTCCTTGCAACCGATCCCTATCTGACGGGCATGCACTGGCTATCAGCTCGAATGCTGCTGCTGCTTCAAGAAAGTCTTCTTTGCTCTCCATGGTTGAGTCAGGACTCCCTGAGGGAGGTTCTCCTAGGACACTGCTTTTCTTTCATGGCATATATTACACAGTTATAAATATGTATTGATTTATATAAATATTTGTTTCCTGTCTGCCTCTCTCGCCAGGCATTCTGGGAATAGTCGCTCGCCTTACCCCCTTAGTATACACAGCACTTGCACAGAGCTGAGCAAACAGCAAGCACTCAACTGGCGTTTGTAGAAGGGAGGCAGAGAGGCTGGCAGGCCTTTGAAGACTGTGTGCCTGCCAGCCTCTCCTGGGATAGGGGTTCTCTGACCCAGGGCCAGTTCCTGGCTCCGCTTTGTTTTTTCCTCAGGCATTTACTTTCCCTCTTGGGCTCAGACTTTCTTGTTCCTTTGCAGAGGAGAAACTGAGGCCTGGAAAGAGAGAGTGACTTCTCCAAGGCCCCTCAGCAGTGAAAAGCCACTTCCAGCCCCGCCTCCCTATCTTCCTGTCCCCAAATCCAGGCTCTTTCAGGACGCTGTGGCCCCCTCAAAGCTGCCTGTGGCCCGAGTGCTTCTGAGGTGGGGGTCACAGGGTGGTTGGGGTGGGTGTGCTGTATGGTGTCCATGGGTGGACAGAGCTGACTGGAGCCAGGAGTAGCCACACTCCCTGACAGCCTTGCGGAGGGTTGTCTGAGTAGCCAGGGGTGTCCCTAGGCCCCGCCTCGGCAGGCCTGGCAGAGGGTGGCCGTCAGGAGCACAGGGGTGCTCTGTTTCTTAATGAATGCAAGTCTGTTTTTAGACCTGAATGACCAGCTTCTTGTCTGGAAACGGCCAGGTCCCAAGTGGCCTGCCAAGAAAAAGTGGTCTGTGACCAGGTCCAGGGGTGCCAGCTCAAGTATATAGCAGTGGGCACTATGGGACAAGGCTGGCAACAGGCAGGTCACTCTCTGCAGAACCTACGGCCTGCTCCATGGCAAGGCCTGGGCTCCATAGGAAATCCTGAATATCCCCAGGAGCAAAGCTTTTACGTTTCAGCTGTTTGTCCCATCTGTCTCCCTGGTGACTGTTCTTACTCTGCAGGCCTTTGAGCTCTGGCCAGGGAGGGGCAGCAGTTGTTGGCCTCCCTGGTGGAGGGAGGAGAGGAGAGGGATCCTGAGCATGGCTGGGCCTGGCCTCTGGGAGTGCCTCCAGGCCCAGGAGGGGTGGGAGGTAGTCACCCGTGTGGCCTTGGTGTAAAGAGGCCTCTCCTTACAGCCCCTCTCTCTGGCTTTAGTCACAGGGCAGGATCAGTCATGCGGGACACATTTGGAGCTTTGTGGGTGCAGTTTGGGGCCTGGTGGTGCCTCCTTCTCTGCTTCCCACAGGTAGCTACATGTCTCATTGTTTTTCAAGGTGCACGATGGGACTCCCAGCCAACTCAGCTCTCAGTGGTGCTGGCAGGGGAGGGGGCTTGACGCTCCATATGCAAGGCTCTGAGAACCGGCTCCCTCCCCAGGGCAGGGCCATGACCTCTCCGGGCTCGCAGTAGTCCGGAGAAGTGCAGGTCAGAGGGGATTTTCCCTGTTTTATAGAGGAGCAAATGTGCAGAGGGTCCAAGCAGCCAGAAGCAAACTTGAGCAAGTTGCTTTCCTTCCAGCTCTTGTGTTTGTGCCCCAAGGCCCTGCGAAACAAGCCACACAGCTTATTTGGTAGTTATTGAGCACTTACTGTATGCCTGGGGCTATGTGAGGCTCTGGGTGAGAGAAGAAGAAGACAGTCTAAGGGAGACAGCCACATGAAAGGCAGGGCAGCAGGGGAAGCTATCTGAGCAGACACCTGTGGACACGGAGCCAGGCTTCAGGGAGAAGAGGCTCTTGGGAGTGAGAACAGGAGGGGCTCCGTCTTGGGCATGGACAGTTAGGCTA